TTTTTTTTTTTATTACGGGGAATAGCTTTTTTCTTCTTCACTGTAACTTAGAAAACAGGATGAGATGTATTATATATAAATGTTGAAAACACACAACTTTCCATTTGAGAGAACTAAGTTCTATTTCTCGATTTATGCGTGTCATCTTGCGCAGGGGCCATGCTAATCTTCTCTGTATCGTTCCAATTTTATCGGGGACACATCTTCTCTGTATCGTTCCAATTTTATCGGATGTCCTCGAAGGGACTGAGTTCTATATATAGTGTGCTTAACATGAAATATTTTGTTGTCTTGTTTAGTGGACTTACTTACATGAATTACTTTGGCTTAATTGCAAAATTTTGATGTTGTTACTATTTGTTTAACAAATTTACAGAAGATTTTATATTTTTTTTAACATATGTTGATGTGATTTATTTGAAATTTATTTATATTTGAGCATTTTGTAATGTAGTTTTAGTTTCAGGTAATTTTATTACAATTATGTGGCCAAATTGCAATTATGGAAGTTTTGATTTCATTGACTCATAATTGCTACATATTCAATGGTCAAATTGCAATTATGGAAGCATCTTTTTTGTCACCTACCTTTTAGACTTTAGATGTGTCAAATTAATTGGTCAATTTTCACCAACCCATAATTCAATTTTGTGCAACTAGTTATTAATTCAAAATAACTGCTGCAAGATTCCATCAAGCTATATTATAATGAGACAAATTAATTGCACGACTTTTTAAATGTATTTTTTAGACATGTTATTTGAGAAAGACTGCATTAATTGTTTTTAGAACATAATTACAGGTACTTATAAAATTATAAAATTAAATGACTATTATAAATGTGATTATTTGTCCTAATAATAAATGGTGTAATTATTGTGGGAAAGAACGAGGGAACCAATTTGTGGTCTAAAAATTTCAACTCTTTCTCAAGCATGTTGGAACGAGCTTAATGGAATATCTTGGAATAAGCAAGAAGAGGATAATGTGAACTTTCAAAGCTGGTGGCTTGAGATTAGTTCTTATGGCAAAGCAAATCTTATGGAAGAAAAAAATTGCTTGTCTATTTACATTATGTTGGGGATTTGGAATTCAAAAAATAAGTGGCTTTTAAAGGGTGGGTTTTTTTTTTTCGCAACGATATAAGATATTATATCAACAATGTACAAGGAATACAAATCGGGGGTCAACTGACCCAAATACCAGAGAGCTACTCACACCCGAGTGCTCTAATACAAACAAAACACAATTAACCACACTAAAGCACATGTTAAAGCCAGCTTTGACCTTGACATCTTTAGCATTGCAACCAACTGCAAACCAACACAAAACTAAAAAAGAAGGGGCAAAACCAGACAAACAAGCACCCCAAAAAGCAGAAACTAAAACTAACAAACTAACAAAAGAAGAGGAAGGAAACAACAAGAAATGAGGAGAGAAGTGAAGAGACCACTGAACCTGACCGGACCTAGACACCTTCACTGCCCCACCCATTTAGTGCTACAGTTCCTCTTGGAAAATTCAAGCTAGTCCCTTTGGGCCATTTGGATGATTACAGGAACTGGCATCCATGTTTTTTGAACACCCACAAGTTCCGAGCTTTCCATAACCACCACAAAAGGTAGGTGGTGAGCTCTATTCTTGCTTCAGAAACTTCAAGCTTGTTCACAGAGCATACATCAATCCACCATTGCTTGAAGATTGTGTTGGGAACTTGGGTTAGTTCCCAGTTCACAGGTGCAGCTTTCCACATTTCCCTAGCCTTCTAGCACTGGGACAAGGAACTTATCATGCAAAAAGCAAAAGATACCCATGAAAAAGAAACATGGGACAAGGAACTTATCATGCAAACTTTTAATCCCATCGATGCTGCCAATATCTTGAAGATACCCATCAGCCAATGTGAAATCAAAGATAAGTTGATATGGCACTCAAGCAAGAGAGGCATACTCACTATCGAGGAGGTGTATCATACCATTCGAAAAAGCAAAAGAGCAGTGCAGACGCAGACTGAATCTAGTGCAGGCAGAAAACATGAAAAAGCTATGTGGGCAAAAACCTGGAAATTGCCTATCAAGCACAAGGTAAAGACTTTTCTGTGGAGCTGCTGACTATAATTTTTTGCCCACCAATACTAATATGGCTAGAAGGGGAGGAGCTTCTGAGGTGATTTGCTGCTGGTGTAGAGAAGCGGGAGAGGATCTGGAGCATATTTTCTTCAGATGTCCGAGGGCTCATAAGACTTGAAAGTTAGTTGGGATCTTGTGGGATAAATTGCAAGGAAATCATTGTCATTTAAGGACTGGTGGAAGGAGGTGTGCAGGGTGTAAGGGAAAGATAGAGGTAAGGACAAAATATCCCTGCCTACATATATAATGTGGCGGTTATGGAAGATACACAATAACTGGATTTTTAGAAAGGTTCAAGTTTCAAGGTACCAACTGGTAGAAACAGCTAGGGAAAAGTTGGAGTTTGAGGAAATCCAGCCACTAGCAGGATGTCAGGACTTGAGCAACAAGAGAAGGAAAATGAAGATGTGATGCATTTTCTAAAGGTGGAGCAAAGAGTAGGGGGACAGGGAGGTCAACCCAGTGCTAATGCTTCATCTATGTTAGATAATGGAATCAGAGGACATGCCTTTGTTGATAAATCTGAAGTAGCAAGATGGACTGTGACTAGGGCTAAGGCTCCTCACTCAGTGGAAGCAAAACTCTTACAAATCAGGGATTGGCTTGCATATGAAGTCACACAACAATGGCAGGAAGTGAAGATCGGTGTGCAAAACAAATGAGTAGCTATGATGCTCAATAAACTAGTGGTCTTTTCTTTTGTTTTTGTTGTCATCTTGGAGGATATCTATGTTTTGCTTAAACAATTTTATATGTGGTTGTTTGTTTAGTGTTATGTAGATGGCAGTCTGTTTTGTTTTAGTGATGGCCAAGTGGTCTTTAGGGGAGATTGATGAATCATTCCCCATGGTCTTTATCTTTCTGTCTAGTGATGCTAGATGAAGATGGCATGCAGCCAGTTGGGTGTGTGACTATGTACATTTTGAGGTTGTTTTAATCTAATTTGACATTTGGAAAAAAAAATAATAAAGAATCCATGAAAAAAGAGATAGTGGATGAAGTTCAGAGAGAATGGTTGGAGTGGCTTTGTATGATGGAGGGTAATCTTGATGCAAAGTTGGTTATGTCAAATGGTGTAACTTCAATGACATATAAATTTTCCAGGTGGGTAGGACAGTACTCCTTGGCTGTCAGTTTTCGACTATCTGTTAATTCAAGAAGGTATATCTGCACTGTTTGGTAGTGGATGAAGCAGAGCAACAACATAATTGGCAAGATGACACTGAAGAAGACTAGGCCATTAAGGAGGCTATGACCTTGGCTATAAGATGGACTCTTTCAAAGGCACAAGACTTGGGATTGGCTGTTATCACGTGTCTTATCAATAGTTCAGTGGTCTTTGAAGCTTTAAATCATCACCTTGTTGTGTCTCCTAAGACCATGACAGTCGTGGAAGATATATGTAGGATTCAGGAGTCAAGTGTTGTTTCTGCTTTTAATTTTAGTTCTAATGGTAGTATGTTTGCTATGTAGTTGGTTAATTTGTGTTAATTTGTGTTTGGTTTTTTGTTCTTTTGTTTTTGGCTATGGTAGCCTCCGAGGGGGAGTTTGTTTACTTCCTTGTTTGCTTGGTTCTTGCTTTTATTGCTTGAATTGGCTTGTTATCATTTGATTACTCAGACTCTTGTTTTGTGGGTATCAAATTTGATGGTTCATCGTGAAAAAAAAAAGAACTCAATTATTTCTTTCTCAGTAATAAAATATTATATATGTAAAGAATAATTTTTTTTTTCTCTCTTCTGAGCAAATTCTTTTACACCCAACCTGAAGATTATATTAAAAGTTTTTCATCCTGCTAGCTTACAATCTAACTTTTTACTCCAAAAAGTGTGAAAGTTATTAGAATAGTTCGCATAACTGTAGAGTATAACTATCGCATATTCATATTAGAAAGTGAGAAGGATTATGCAAATGCCTTCGCATTACTTACGCACATATCAATAGCAAAATTGTCGCATAATTACTGCATAATGACTACGCACTTTCTGGAATGAAAAAGTCAAGCTTTTTATCAGTGTGAAAAACTTGTGTGTTTATATGTGAATAATCCATTCAATTTTCAATTTATACTCAAAATCTAACTAAACTTTAACCCAACTTTATTATCCTCAGTATTATTAATATAATTAAATAATATCAACCAATCATTCTTACACATTAAATTAATTTACTATTAATCATCTCACTTTACCATTTCACACTATCTCTCATACTTTTACATCAAATCAATTTTGACTATTTTATTTTAATATAAAATAAAAATTATACTAACAACTAATTATACAACTTTTTTTTTTTCAAAATTAACTATGATTAATAAAAAACAACTCGATTTGAGCAGATTTTGTCAATTATTATAAAAAGGAAAAAAAATCATATAAAGGGAGGAAAATACGATTCCTTTCCCCTCGTGGGGGAAAAAAGGCTTTTCTTCCCCTTCCTTATTTCCTACTGTAAATTTTGTTGCCTGCAAAGCCAAGATTCAATTTTTCTGAATTCTTTTTAACCGTGACACACATACGTATCCACCCTTCATAATTACGTTATCATTACAGTAAAAGTTTGCATATATAAATGGGGAGGGCACCCAAAAAAGCATGTCGTCATAGTAGTCGGATAGGAGAGAGAAGAAGAAGAGTGGCATCGCTGGGTTTCTTCTCCGTGGGTAATGCCTTTTCACCTTTATCTTTCTTCGTTTTTTTTCCTGGAAATTTTTTTGCCTGTTTGTTTTCAATTTCCTTACATGGGTTATATGTGGTGATTGATTTAAACTAGGTTTTTTTGTCTCTCTGTTTGTAAATTGTATTTGTGTGAGGTCGTTGGATCTGATGGATTTTGATGTTTTTGGGATCTGGGCATATTGTTTTCGACTTGAATTTTGGTGGGGTGGTACTAATTTGTCGATTTAGGGTTTGCGTTGCTTTTGGATGATGGTTTGTGGCTGCTGGATAGGCAGTGTAGCCTGTGCTGTTCGATTGATTTTGTTTTAGTTTTTGCTTTTGCGTATTTGAATCTTTGTCATATGGTGTACGGTGTTTCTGAGCTATGGCTATCTGGATCTGTGTTATGGTGAATGGTTTTAGGTTATGTCTTCAATTCAATTGGGCTTGATGTTATCTATGTTAGATTAATCGAAATTGTTGGTAGGGTTTGTGTTTTGAAATTGAAGTGACTGTTGTGGGAGAAGGAGAATGAGTAGTTACAACATGAAAGTTGAGCTCATATTGGTTAAATAGTCCATTGGTGTTACGTAAGTTTAAATTTACATGAATAATACTTTTCACGTCGGAATTATATGAGCTCTTTATATGTTGGAAACTTTCTCTTGGATTTTAATTTCATGTTATGTGTTCTCCTTGCACTTTCGGATTCCTATGCTAAGTCTCAGACGGGTTGGTTGGTGATAAGCCTGCATATGTCTGTCCAACGTATTCCTCTGTATCATGTACTTGCACTGTTTTTTTACGGATGCCGCTTGTTATACTCAATCTCTCAAGCTGAATTTTTGTTTCGACTTCTAAGCTTTTCTTCCATCATAAAATAATTTTCTTATGGTTTCAGGTCTTAAATCACGAGCTAAAGGGATTAACATTGTCTAGGACATGGAGCAAATTTGCCTTTGGTCTGATTGCCATCAGCATAGGATTTTTCAATTCCAGGAACTCCTTGACTGGCGATTTCTCATCCTTGGAGAGTTTTTTGTTTCCTTTGTCAATTGCACTTAGTGATTTAAATGAGCAGTATAAGAGAGTAGAGAAGAAGATCTTCAAAATTGATGTGATGTCAATCTAGTTTTATACTGTTAATCTTCTCGTGCGATTCCATTTGTTGCTAATGCATTGCTGATAGATACACATCGTTTTAAGAACCTTTGGAGACCGGTTGTGAGGTATTTTCTAGCCTTTATTTTCTTATTCTTTTTTTTTACCAAACTTCTAGCCTTTATTTTCTGATTCATCATTTATGTTTTGAGCGTTTAGGATCATCACATTTTATCTTCTCACTCCATCTTAAACTCAGGACTCATCTGCAAGTATGAGAAGGATCTTCATCGGGTTCAATATTTCAGCATCGTAAAATGTGGAAGCTTAGGCAGATCATCACTTTGGCCAATAATGGTAGATGGCGAGCTATTTCTTATCAGCCGGGTTTGACTAGTATCAGACTATTCCCTAGTTCTGCAGCTTGGTGTTGAGATTGTTTGTCGGTTTACCTCATAAATAAGGCAGTTAAAGGTCGTTCATCATAATCATTTTGTTTTTCTCGTAACCGAGGAATTAGTGGTGGATTTGATTTATACGCCAGGCTGTTATTAGTTAATTTTCTCATTTAGAGTGTGTGATACTTAAATTAGCATAGTCGTGTTGTCTGTCTCGTCCAATAAAGCGGAACATTGCTCATAGCTGAAGTTCACAATAATGGAAAGGTACAATCTTTTGTAGTCTTTTATCTGTCTGCTATGATCACATTTCTTTTTATTGGATTCAAATATCACAGTGGGTTTGTGTAGGTTCACGATTATTAAGGAAGTTGGTAATGGTACGTTTGGAAGTGTCTGGAGAGCTCTAAGCAAGCAGTCTGGTGAAGTGGTAGGTGCATTCTTTGTTTAGATAGTTTTAGTTTTCGAATTATTAAGCTTTTGTTAACGTTGTCGTTGTACTTAATTGATTATATTGACAGGTGGCGATAAAAAAAATGAAGAAGAAATATTATTCATGGGAAGAATGTATAAATCTGAGAGAAGTGAAGGTGGAATATTTACTTTTTATGTTGATGTTTAAGAATGACTCGTGTGATTGTGTCATATGCTGATATACGTTACGGTTCTCCATATTGATAGTCACTGAAGAAAATGAACCATCCAAATGTAATAAAGCTGAAGGAAGTCATCAGGGAAAACGATGTATTATGCTTTGTCTTTGAATATATGGTATGCTTTGATTTCCCTAGTTCTGTTTGCCCCCCTTTTTGGTTCGATGAATGAATTAATAATATGTTGTGCTGCACCGTCAGGAATGCAATCTATACCAGCTTATGAAAGATAGGAAAAAACCTTTTACAGAAGTTGAGGTGAGAAACTGGTGCTTTCAAGTATTTCAAGGCCTCGCGTACATACATCAGCGTGGATATTTCCATCGTGACCTAAAGCCAGGTTATTATTGCTCTGTGAAAATCTCAGCTATGATCATCCTAGATGTTCTTTACCTTTTTTTAATGGATATGTTGCATTATTTGGAATCTATAAGTAATTCGAAAATTGTATTACCTTTACATGATGTTGTGACTGATTTCACTCTCAGTTAAGACTTATTTTATTTATTTTTTATTATAAAACTTTGTTGACTTGTAAATAATTCTTTGTGAAGTGTAGGATTATATCTGTTGCTTAATTTGTCAAGGTAGTTTTTATTACATGATATTTTTTACCTAATTTGTCTCATTGATGTTGTAACAGAAAACTTGCTAGTATCAAAGGATACCATAAAAATTGCCGATTTTGGTCTTGCTCGTGAGATAGCTTCTCGACCACCGTTCACCGAATATGTCTCAACACGCTGGTATAGTGTAGTTTCTATATTCTATTTACTTCCGTTGATTGTATTAAGTAATGCTTAAAAAACTTGAGAAACCATTGGTTATGCAGGTACAGGGCCCCTGAAGTTCTGCTCCAGTCACCTATATATGGTCCCCCAGTTGGTGAGTGAATATGAAATCTCAGTTGCCTTTTATTCTTTTTCCCTGGATGTTTTTCTTTTCTCTTGCGAGATTTAAATATTTTTTTAATTTTTTTTCTGCAGATATGTGGGCAATGGGTGCAATAATGGCTGAACTATTCTCTCTTCGTCCTTTATTTCCTGGGTCAAGGTATAACTATCATTCTTGATAAGTGTATAGGTTTCCATTGTTAATGTGTACTTTCGATTTTTAGTACTATTTATCCCTTTGAAGTTGGAAATTGTGTGCGCATTATTCACAAGTTTACTCGAAGTATTGCAAGCATGAAGTGCTTGATACGATCCTTTAAAATTATGGTGCAGTGAGGCAGATGAGATTTACAAAATATGCTGCATAATTGGCAGCCCAACCAACACCGAGTGGCCACACGGGCTCGAACTTGCTAGTGCTATCAACTATCAGTTCCCTCAAGTATGTGTACTTCGCTTTTAATGAGTATATTAGATGATGACAAATAGATTTTTTTTTTTTT